TGTGTGAGTGCACTGGGTATAGCAGGGTGGGTAGCCTGCATACAATATAAGAGCAGGAAAGAAGCTTGCTTGCTGTGCTTCTCCCTTTTTGCTCTTGTTGCTTTTGTGCTTTTCTGCTGCCACGAACTATTGCCCTCTGCCATGTGCCACTCTGCCTTGGAGCCAGCCAAATATGGACTGAAACCTCCACAGACTGTGAGCAAAATAAACATTTCCTTCCTTAATTTGGGGCACCAGGTATTTTGTCTCAGCAATGAGAGAAAAGTAACCACAACAGTATCTTATCTGAAGCTCCAAACATATGGATCAGAGGCTGGTCACGCCTCTCATGTCCTGTTCAGATCCTTGATCCACAGAATCATGGTAAAAACCAGAATGGTGGTTGTTTAAACCCCAAAGTTTTGAAGAAGCAATACATAACTGAAACATATGGCTATGGTGAAGGAAACAAAATAGTATGCCAAATAACACAGCATACATCTTCTCAAGTTTGCTTTACATATATATGTGTATATGTGCACATATGTATATGTACATGTATATGCAATATATTCTTACACAGATATATTTATTTATATACAAGCACACTAGTAGTTCTTATCACTGGGAAATAGGATTATGGGTAGCTTTATATTTTATCTTTCTGTTTTTCAAAAATTTGGCTTCGCTTTCATTTTACAATAAAAATTTCTTAGTATCATGTTAGCTTTTTTGACAAGTGCTTTACACTGTGAATTCAGAAGCTTCCTGTCAACTGCAGATGTGTGTGTGAGTGTGTACAATTATAAGTATACATACAAAATAAATATCTACATCTCCGGGACAGCTGTAAGGTGGTTTCTCCGCCCTGGATGACACCAGAGGAGGTGCAGAGTTATGCTGGAGGAGCGGAGCCTCTTCTACCAATCACCCCACCACAGAACGTTCTCCACTCCCAGGCTGTACACTTCATTATTTCGCTATTGTAAAACCCCTGTTTATGTGGCTATGGAGGAGTGGTTGCTATGGCGATGCAATCCTACTGAATAGCAGAATGCATCTAAAATTGGTGGAAGTGACTTTTTCAGGGTTTCCTCTGAGGATTAATCATCTTCCAAGAATTTTATCTTTTTTTTTTTTCCTCTCCTGTTAGAACAACAGTGCCAGAGCACCTCGTCTAGGCCTGGGGCGTGGGCAGTGTGAGGAGGGATTAGGGAAGGACAACCTGATGACTGGAGGAAAATCCCAAACCACCTGGGAACCCCTACCTCCGACGCGCTCTGGTTCCTTTCCTCCCTCACGCCTCACCTCCTTCTCCATGCTGAGAACCTCCTCCTCACTCCCTCCATCCTGTGCTCTTCTTAGGTTGCCTCTCTGATTTTTCTTTGGGTCTTTTCTTTCCCTTATGCTGGAGACAGAACCCTGGGATTGTGTACTGAGCTACACCCCTAGTCCTTTTGAAAATTTTTAAAATTTTGAGACAATCTTGGAAAGTTACTAAACTGCCCAGGCTAAGCTCAAAGCAGTGATCCTCCTGCCTCAACCACCCAGAATGCTGGGATTACAGGCATGTGCCACACATTGGGATCTGTCTGTATTTGGACGCCTTTTCCTTCCCTGCACTCCAAATTAGGATACACCCTAAATCACATTCTTCATCCTCTCTTTTTTACTCCTAATCTTCCAGTTCTCTGACTTTGTTCTTTTTATTTTTTGTTTTCTTTCCCTGTGGTTTCCATACATGAGTCCCAAGTCTGAGCTGTAGCCTAACTCCTCTCTTCCCTTCCACCTCCTCCACACACCAGGTATCTCACTTAGCAGGATCCTGGTGATGGGCTCCCACGTGGCTTTCTGATTCTTCTTCCAGCTCCTCCCACAGCCCCAGCAGCCTGTGTGGGAGGCTCTCAACCTGTGTCTGGTAACCTCGCTGCATCAGGAAGCCCCGCTGGGCTGGGCCAGGCCTCTTTACCTCTCAGCACCTGCCATAGGGTGACGTCAGTGTTTGAGTCCTGTCCCCTTCCCGCACGAGGCCTTGGGCTCCCTGGGAACAGGAGCTGCACCTCATTCCTTACAGACCGCAGAGCCTGGCACACATGAGTGCATCAGTGGAACTGTTGTCATCTCAAAGCCACTGCTCCGTAGCTGTCTCCCCCCACCCCTTGTCCTACTACGTTCCACACATTCCTCGTCTTTGATGGCTTCCTTCTGTTCCGTAAGTTCTGACCCTGCTCCTACTGCCAGCTCCCACACATTAGCATTTACTCTTGCCTCAGTGCCCATCCTGGCCTTGTTCTTCAGCTCAGGCCGGACTTCATCTAATGGATTCTGCCTGGCCTTCTTCCCCAGCAGCTTCCGCCTCCAACCCACGCTGCACACAGCCTCCAGACTCATGGTTCTCCACCTTGCACCTTGTTCCAAGGCCCATACCTGGCCAAGCAAGGTCAAGGCCTCCGGCTGCCTCCATCCCTCACCTCCTCCTGCTCAGTCTTTCCATCCAGCCCAGACCTTGATCACTGCTCTCCACGCCCTCCATCCCTCTGAGCCCCTCTCTTTTGGCCCCATTGTCTCCCTTACCATCTGCTACCCACCTTTTAAACCTCTTTCCTCCTTAGAGTCCACTCTGCAACTCCACCCCTGTGAGGGGTTCAGTTGTGCCCCTACATTCATAGGATAAAGTCCCAACTTCTAGAACCTCCTGATGTCATCATATGTAGAGCGGTTGCAGACTAATTAGGTAAGATGAGGTCACACAGGTGAGGGTAGATCTGATCCAATATGATGTGTGCTAGCAAAAGGGGAAATTTGGACCCAGAGACGTGCAAGCAGGGAGAACACCTGCGCAGAGACTCGGGAGAGAGTGGCTGTACAAGCTGAGGAGGCAGGCCTGAGACGGGTGCTTTCCTCACAGCCTGCATGCGGAAGAACCGATCCTGCCAGTTCCCTGGGTTTGGACTTCTAACCTCTGCACTTTGAGATGATCCCTTTCTGCTGTTTCATCTCCCCACCTGGCGCCACATACAGCCCGCAGCGCCAGTTTCTCTGGGCTGACAATTCTCTTCTCCCTTTGGCTCCACAAGAGCCGTTTCCTGCTGCCCCAGAGCTGTTGTCTGCTTGTGTCCCCAACACATTTCCTACTTGCTAACAAGACTCTGATTCCTCTCAGGTAGGCCTTTTCTTTGGGCTTCTTTTTCATCTCTGACAGGCCCTGGTGCTTTGCTGACCTACAGAGCAGGCTGAACTGAATCAGCTTCATCCTGGAGGGTGATTCTGGCTTCCTGTCAGTCACTGCAGGTTTTTCTAAGCCCTTCTAGGTTAGACAATAGAGTGCTCCGCAGAGTACCAGGAGGGGACTGACTAGTGATGCTAGGGAGGTCCTGTTGGCCTTGGGAGGTGTGGAGGCAAAGAGTGCCAGCCCTGGATGGGACTACAGGGTGACAATGCCTAATCCAACCCTCTTACTGCACGGAGGAGGAGGACATGAGGCTTGTGCGGTGTTGAGGGCTGTCACATCACAGAGAGCAAGAGCACGGAGAGTGGAGCTGGCACTTTGGCTCAGTCCCTCGACTCCCAGACCGATGCTGTGGATAAGAGATGCCGGCCCTGAGTCGGGGAGGGGCTGCCAAAGGGCAAGTGGAGCCTTTGGGGCGATCTCTGCACTAGAGAACTGGGGATTTACAACAGAGCCATAGAGTAACCAGAGGGGAGAGGTGATTAGGATGAGGGGACTCTGCAAGACACAGGGCTCTGAAGAGAGTGTCACGCTGCAATGAGTGATGGCCACTGTGTGCTCAAAGGGCCGTGCTTAGGCAGGCTTCTGCCTCAGCCCAAGCAGACTCCTGCGGTCAGTCAGGAACAGGAGCAGGCTTTGCGGGGTACAGCCATATGATGAACAAGTACAGTGAATGCTTAAATTTTTTTAAAAAAATATTTCTTACTGTAAGAGACACAGTGCCATTAATCTCCCTCAGAATATTCCTTCTCACTTTGAACACACTTATCCCATCATCTCTGCCACTTTCAGAAGCCCTTCTGGAAGTTTTCTTTCATGAGTGTCGTGTCTTTAGCAGCACTAGAGTGGCTGCCTCAGTTTGAATCAGTTTGAATTTTTACATTTCATGATCATTTTGACTTTGGGGAAGAGCTGGAAGCTGCCTGATGCCAGATCTGGTGAATAAGGTGGGCACACTGTAATGTTTTCTAGCCTGCCTGGCTGTTGGATGGCATTCAGTAGCCGCATCCATTGTATTGTTTATCTCACCTTATAAAGACACTCAGGAAAGAGGACTTCTATAATCGCTTCAGAAAGTGGCAGGGATGCTGACATAAGTGTGTTTGAAGCAAGGGAGAGAATTTTGAGAGGGATTAATGGCAGTGTGTAAAAAGTTTTTTTATTTCAACTCTATATTTTGATTCCGCTAGTATTAGTGTACACCTCTTTACTACTGTGACTCTATGCATTGAAATGGCTCCTGGGTACAAGGAGTCAGAAACCAAAGCCCCATGCAAAAGCTTAGGCCTTTCCAGAATGGTCCAGAGAGACACACACATCACAAAAGCAGTCTCTTGAAAAAAAGCCTTTGCATCCAAATGCTAGAGTGTGTTAAAAAGCAGTGTGGGAACTGTACAACCTGCAGCCCTGCAAAATTATGCTACAGAGACATTGAATTGACCTGAGAAAATACTTACGATACTAGGTCAGGGGGAAGATGCAAGCTTAGAAAGAAAAAGAAGGAAATGTAGTTAGAATGGGACCCTTCACAGTCATGCTCGAAAATGCTCATGGAGTTTACCAGGGATTGTTAACCTGCTCTGTCTTCTTCCAGACATGTTCCAAATTCTGTGCTGAGCACATAGTATTTATAGAGCCTAAAGGTAATTGCATTTTTATGTTAAAGACACTAATTCTGGGAGGCTATCAGGCTGACCTTGTTCTCAGTGGCTTTGCAAGGCTTAGACTGCTCTGTTCTGCTCTTTGTAGACAAGAAAAATGCTCATCCCACATCGTCAATCCATGTACTTACATTCTGAGTATTTTTGGAGTTGGTCAAATTCTTCAGGAGTGAGAGACACCCATCGTTCTTCACTCATCTTTAACCTGGATGCAAGCTTCTTGAGGCCAGGGATAGAGTTTTGTTCAGCAGGGTGAAGCTGAGGCCTGGCCCAGGGCTTGGCTCATTGCAGGTGGACAATGGATATGCCCTTCCAGAGACTCCTGGGGGACTCACACATCTATGGCAGCAGGGGGCACATCTTGGCAGCTGAGAGAAAACCTCTGCCGTTCCTCTAGGACATCCTTCTGCTGAGGTCAAGGCAAATTCAGAATCCTGGCTCTCCTAGGCAGAAGCAGAAAAGCCACTGTAAATGCGAATGTCAGAAAACCAACTCCCAAACATTCTCTGTGGAAAGATCTACAGAGCACAATGGTTCAGTGGTTTTCAAGGCAGCCATCTCTGTTCAGGGAGATCTGAAGAGGACACGGAGGCCAGGCCAGCAAACTCCCGTCCGTTGTCTGTCTGTGGCCTGTCTCAATAGGGAGGCCATGACTCTCAACTTTGGGGAAGCCCAAAGACCTCAGAGAGCAGTGTTGTAGGGATACGGCAGGGCATCCGCGTTGCCTCACTCAGAGGGCCGATGCCTCATGAATCACTGTGGGAGCAGAGGCCTCCGTGTAGTGGCTTGCAAGGAGAGCCATTCTCTCCACAGATTTCTACACACCACCAATGGAGCTGCCTTCTTTCCTCTGCTGCATCATTTGGGAAATGCAGATAACCCTGAGGCTGGCTAACACCTAGTGGCTGAGGCAATCCTATGTTCTGACAGAGCCATAAAAGAGGTGAAAGGGAAGCTGAAGCCAGGAGGAGAAGATACCCAGGAAAACACTGATCATCCTTTCCTTTGATCCTCTCCTAGTACTATGCATTTCATTAAATCAGACCTGTGGGTTATTAAGTTAATGTAGTGGGCCGTGTACTAAAAAAACATGAAATAGAACGGGGTAGAGTGGAATGGAGCTGCATCTCCCACACTGAGTGGGTGTTGTCCCATGATACTTTCCTTTTCATTCTGTACACACAGGCACACTCATCACAAGGAGGAAGAAACGTATTGTGGTTGATGTTTTAAAAAGGTTGGAAGCCAGCAACCTAAAAGGAGGAGAAATAGAGAGCAGATGGAACACAGGCTTCGGCGTTGCTGAAAGCCAAGTGCAGTTTTAAGGAAACAGAATCCATCCTTGTGACCAACTTTAAGCGAAGTCTGGGGAACTTGGAGCACCTGAGCAAAGCTGGTTGGACGTACCAGCGGGCAGGCAGAGGTGGGGAGCTCTCTGGACAAGTGTGTGGATGTGGACAGGGAGGCCTGAACTAGAGCTGAGGGAAGATGGTGAAAGGAGAGAGATTCCAGCTCTTAAGGAAGGACGGTAGGAGCGAGTGAATCACGGGGCAACCCCTGCCCTTCGGGAGCATTCAAATACTAATTTCTCTCTTTTGCAAAGGCATTTTTCCCCTTTACCAGCAGACTGGATTCTGCTTTTCTGTAGCCATGGAGGTACATCCCCAGCCCCTTTTAAATTTTATTTTGAGTCAGCGTCTCACAGTTGTTCAGGCTGGGATCAAACTTGCAATCATCCTTTCTAAGCCTCCTGAGTAGACGGAATTATAGATACCTGGCAACAGCGCATCTACTCTTGTTAAGGTCACTGGTTCCAAGTCCCACCAGCACCTTTTCGCCCTTCCTTGCTTTGTCTGTAGCCTCTGGCCTGGCAGAAAAGTCACCCCTTGCACCTTGCTTGTCTTTCTGAGTGTTCCTCTCCTTAGTCTCCTTCAGCTCTTCCATTGCTGGCTCCAAATCCAGATGTTTTCCAAAACCCTGTTCTCAGTCCTCTCCTCACTCTATCACTTTCCCCAAGGGACCCAAGCATCTCCACTGCCTCAGTGACTCTCCGGCGCTGGGCTCTCTCTGATCTGGATCACAATGTGTGGATCTTCAGATCCTCCACCCAGCTCTGAATAATTCTCCTGTCTCCTGCACCTCTACCGTATGTCCCAAACCACAACAACTTGGCACTTTCCAGCCCCCCAGCCTGCACCTCCTTTACACTCTGGTCATTCCCTCGAGAGGAGCCAACACCCAGGCCAGAGGCTCAGCCTACTCCCCAACCCTCTCCTGCCAGCCCCAAGCTCCAGCTCAGCAGTGGGGCTCTCCACTGCGTCCTCTTTCCTCGCTGTCACACAGCTCTTTCCTTAACTCAGGCGCTCGTCATCTCCTGCCTGGTCTTTGATGACAGCCTCCTGCTGGTCTCTCTGCCTTTGTTTTTTCTCTCCTCCACTTGATCTGCTCTGTAAATTGCCAACCAGATCACATTTCTCCAAGTAATAGAATTCTCCAGTGCTTTCCACTGCTTAAGAATAAGACGAAATCTTCCTTTCACAATACACAGAGCGCTTTATGCTTTGGTGCCTGATTATCAATTCAGTCCAAAAGCAAAGGATGTCCTTCAGAAACGTTTCTTATCACACCACGCAATGCAACATTACAACTGCCGCTACCACTGCTGCTATCGCTTAGTGAACTCATTTTATGCTGTCCTATAGGCTTTAAACACATTATCTAATTTAATCTTCATAACAACAAGTGCAGTAAGCACAGTTACGTACTGCACAATGGCATTTTGATCAACAACAGATTGCATATGCAACAGAGGTCCCACAAGATTACAATGGAGCTGGAACCTTCCTATGGCCGTGTGACAATCTAGCTGTCACAGTGTCATCCCTTAACCAATGACTTGTGTGTTTGTGGCAATGTTTGTGTGAACAAAATTGCTACACTCAGTCTTATAAAGGAACACATAGACAATTAGTAGAGTAATACTGCTTAGTAATAATAATTAGAGCTATGTTACTGGTTCATGTATTTACTATATTATTCTTTTAATCATTATTTCGTAGTATTATACTTATTAAAAAGCTTACTGTAAAACAGTAGGCCTTGCTATGCTGGCAGTTGCTGCGTACATCCTGTGTTTACCACATCTGGTGATATCAAGAAGACTATACGGTCTAGGTTTGTGCAAGCACACTGCATGATGTCCCAAATGGAAAAATCAACTGACCCTGCAGTTCTCAGAATGTTATCCATCATGAAAGGACACTTGATGGTATTGTTGTCTCTATTTTGTTGGTGAGAAAGATTAAAGCTAGGTATTTAGCAAATATGGTGAAAGGGGAAGGAATCGTCAGTAATTTGGTTTAAAAATACTTCTATGACATAATTATTCTGCACACTTTCAGCAAGCACAGAACTTGAAGAGGATCCAGGGACACACTGCATCATAGAACAATGCTAAACTCAAAGCCAGAAGTCAGAGAATTTGAATCTAGGCTTTACTTCTTATTAGGTATTTGACCCTAGACTTATTTTTCATATCTTGCACTTTTTTTCCCTCTTATAAATGAAGATACTTGTGAAAAAGTTCACTGGGTTAGTATTGGAAGTGAGCTGATATTTGCAAAAAACCAAAAGCCCAACTCCCCACCTGCCACAGTGCCTGCCACAATAAATAGCTGCTGTTATTAGTAGCAATAGAGCATAAGCAATCATCTGACAGCAGCTGAGAGAAAGGTCTATGGAGTGCCAGGGATCTGTGAGCCTGAGCTTATCCTCCTCCAGGTTTTTGGAATTTTGCAATTATTCATTGAACTTTTCCACTAGTTTTAGCATTCACTGATGGTTCTTGCCTGGATTAATTACTACTGTACTAGTAATTTTTCTACTTCTGTTATTATTTCTATATTTACTAGGTGGGAATCTACTATAAGGATGAGTTATCCTTTTTTATGTCAGCATATCTATAAAATTTATTCATGTCAGTACATATATATGATAAATATTATGCATACTACAAAATATAATCAGTCATCAAAATGAATTACATGTAAATGATACATTTTTATGTAAATAATAAATATGATAAAAATATGGTAAATGATTGTTTAAAAATTTATTATGTAACAGACACTTGCCATTAATCCCCCTTAAGATATTCCCCTTTACTTCAAATACACTTATCCTATGTCCTTGGTAATGGGTCTTTTATTGTATTAACTTTAAAATAATTGAAACATTACACTCCTTGTAAATACATATTATGTTAACATATAATGTATTTAACTGTACTAATAGAGTCCTATTCAGTGGGCTATAATCCTTGCTATTTGCATTTGTTCAGATTCTCAGATTGTCTCCCAAGTGGTTCTTTTTTTTTTTTTTTAACAGTGCAGGGCAGTGGTGACAAACCTATTGCATGTGTGCTGCCGTGAGCTATTTGTATCACTGAAACCTCTAAAAGGTTTGCCACCACTGGTATAGGGGGTTGAACCCAGGGTCTTTACACTGAGCTACATTTCCAGCGTTATTGAAATTTTTACTATGAGACAGTCTTGTTAAGTCACTAGTTGTCCAGGCTAGGCTTGAACCTTGCAATCCTGTCTTAGCCTCCTAGAATGTGGTTTTGTTTTAAAAAAAATCCCCTGTGTTCTTTGAGCACATCTTTAATTTCTGGGATTATAAATGTTTTACATTCATCTTTTAGTCTTTTTTTTTTTTTCTTTTTTCTTTTTGTGCTGGGAATTGAACTCAGGACATTGCACTTGCCAAGCAGGTGCTGTACTGCTTGCTGAGCTATATCCCCAGCCCCTACGTATATCTTATGCTTTGTCTGCCCTGAACTTAATCTTTTTTCCACAGAGTCCTGAGTTCCTTCCATAGAGAATGCTATTTGAAACCAAGGTTTGGACACTAGGTCTGCTCACTGTCACTGGAGTTTGTCATTCCTTCTAAGACTTATCAGGGACAGAGTTAGGAAATGCACATACGCATGTACACTTCCTATGTATGTATACATCTATCTATCTATTATCATCTATCAGTCATCTAATATATCTGCCTATCTATCTGGAACCAGCTCCAGTCCAACAGACAATGTCCATTTTGCACTCCTCTTGTGCCATAGTTTATTTTATTTATTTATTTATTTATTTATTTATTTATTTATTTTGGTTTTTCTCCGGTACCGGGAACTGAACTCACGACCTTGCGCTTGCCAGGCAGGCGCTTTGCTGCTGAGCTAAATCCCCAGCCCCTTGTGCCATATTTTAAAACTTTCCTCTCCAACAACCTTTGTGGCCATCATGTAGAATATACTTATCTGCTCAATCTTAAAATACACAGAAAGTCATTCCAGAACTGCTAGCCCACGTCTCTGTGAGAAATCTAGTGTGCAATTTGTTTACAGCTCTTTTGTTCCTGGCCAACAGCTTCTCTTCCAAATCCT